CAGTAAAAAAAACGCATGGTACTTACATCGGTACTTACATGGAACCCATGTTGGAAAAGATTTTTTTCACTGAGAAAGCAACGGCTTAGAGCAACAGTAATTTTACATAGTCGTTTTGCAATTAGTTTTATGGCGGCAATTTGAGCTGAACATGTGGTGCCCGAAAGTTTGTAAAGCAAGATCTTTTGTATTGTTGAGAACGAAAAATCTTAGATTTTTATTTATTTACCAAAATAATCAATGGAACTTACACATAAAAAGTTTAGCATTAATGAAGGAAAGCAACACCAGGCCTTAATAAATTGACGATTGATATTGCTGCAGCCAAAGTAGCACCATAAAAATACTTTCAAATGAGTTTACTGTAAGTAAATTAATTACGCCTTGCGCTATTTTATTCCAACAGTTTGCAAAACAGTTAAAAGCAGCAAAAAATACTAACTTCGGGTAACCTTTGATTAGTTAAAGTTTTAAAAAAGTCATTTTTTTAAATTATAAGCTGAATTTAATGAGAAAGCGTAAACATCCTTCTAAGTTCTTCAACAGCGCTTTTCTGTGACATTTTTTTAATACTTTGTTAATGAAATAAACTATTTAAAACTATAATTCTTTGGTAATATAAAACAAAACAAGAAAAATATTCTCAAACTTAACATCTATCTAGTTTTACAGCTCATGTATATAAAAAAATGTGGACTCTCTTCAAAAAATTTAAAACTTGTTTTAAAAAAAATACACCATACATTGTAAAAAAATGTTGAGTTAATGTCACTAATAAAATACACGCTTTTATTACAACTTGATTTATTTTTAATTATACTTTTAATGTGATTTTTGAACGCATTAATTTTTCCTGTAGACGGTCTATATAACGCATGCACAATTATATTTCTTGATTTCGCTAATGATTTCTACGCATAACGATTCATAGTCATTAGTGGTTGAGCTTAAGTTTTGCTTTATATTGTATGATAATGAATTAATAATGAATATACATAAACCCCCACCTTCCTTGCCCCAACCTCTAACTTGGTGAACCACATTGTAATTAGGTATTTGGAAATTTGAATCGTTTTCAATATCTTTATCATGACAGCATGTTTCGCTAAGGCAAATAATGTTAAAACTAATTTTGATTTTATATAAAAACTGTTTTAATGATTCAAAGTTTTTTTTGAATACTCCTAATATTAATATGGAGAATTGAAAATGAGTTATCATCCATTCCTTCCGTTATATTTTTTGAGTTTGAGTTATAATATAATGGGTTAATATGTTTAATTACTTCATTATTATTATAAAAATTAAAATCAGGATCCGAACTTTGATGTAAAAGTGTTGAACTATTAATTTCAAATGTTTTAAACTCAAAATCGGATCTGTCAGTTTCGTCAGTCATTTTAAATAAGAGTAGTTTTAATAAAAAAATAAAATATGATTATTCAAATTGATTTCTTAAAATCCTTTACAATTAATTTATCGTAAATAACAGTACAATACATACCGTTGTACCTGTGTATTTTTCTTTCTTCGAATAATTTTTTTTCGCCTAATTGCTGTTTCTACCGAATAATCTTCGTTTATAAATATTCCCGAACCTTTAAGTTTGTTTGCATTTTTCAGAATTTTTACTTTCTCTTTATAATCAAGTAACTTGATCACGATAGTTCTTGGCTTTTCTGTATTACACTTTCCTGTCCGATGTGCTCTTTCTATTTTTACTCCATTTACATTTAAATTATTTTCAAGTATATACATTATTTTAATTTCCGAATCATCCCAACTTTTCGACTCGTTTTCAGCAATTCCTTCAAATCTTAAGTTATTTCTTCTTTGCCGATCTTTCAGTTGTCGAATTTTTTCTTTGTCTTCACTTGCTAAACTAGATTTTGAACAAATTTTTTTTTCTAAGTCACTAACCTTTTTATCGTTATTATCTTGATGGAACGATAGACTTTCTTCAATGTCCTTTAAAACTTTTTCGTAATTCAGTAACTGATTGTTTGACTTTGCTTGGTCGACTTTTCTCTTTTCGTTTTCCTTTTTTAAGGATTTGCAAGTGGCTTTAATCAAAGTAATGTCTTTTTGTAATCCGTCGATTCGTTCATTAGTAATTTTTAAGTTTCCACTTATCAATTTCAAAATGTCCTTTTGTTGTTTCTGAAACATCTCCTGAAAAATTTCCTTTACTAGCTGTATTGAGATTTCGGAATCTTTAATTTTATTCATTTTGATATTCAAAATAATTACGATGATAAAAGAAATAAAAAGTTAACTTCAAAACCCTGATTATGATTTATCTTGTTTTAAGTGTGTTTCTTTTAAAATAGACTAATAAAATAAAATCATTTAAAACACTAAATTCAGCGCCGACGACACGTTTCGAAGAGGAGAGGCACAATCGTCATTTTTTTAAAAAAGTTCTCTATATCTAGAATTTTCTTTACAAAAAACAAATTTCCTTTAGACAAAGTGTGTGTAAGGGAGAGGGGGGGGAAGGGGCACGTGCTTTCCGGTGTCGTCGGCTCTGACATCAACTAAAATAGCAGCCGTGGCGCAGTGGCAGCGCACTTGCTTCAGAAACGTAAGACCTGCAGTTCAAACCCACCCCTAAACAAGTTTTGCAACATCGGTTGGGAAGGAGGTGTGAACTTTCTATTGATACTATACTTACTTAATACTATACAATATTATACTTTTCCGCGGCGCTCTGTGACAAGACCGTGAGGACTACTTTAGGCACCTAAAAAAAATTAAATGTTAATTTAAGTTAATTTTAAATTTAATTACCTTCTAAGTTTAAAAACTAAATTTAATATTTACTGACATTTTTTTTTTTCGTTTTTTTTTTGTTTTTTGTTTTATCTAATTTATTTATGGTATTATCTATTAATTAAGACGATCTTATTTTATTGTTTATATTTTTGTAAACATCTATTTTGTTTATACTTTATACTCTTAGAGTATAAAGTATAAACAAAATAGATCCAGGGCATGTATGTCTCTTTTGCCACTCTCTCTCAACGGTACTCATAGCCACTCTGTTGATATTTGCCGACTGACCTGTCTAAAAGGTTCAAGTTTGCCGACTGACCTCTAAAAGCAATATACATATTATTATGATTATTTTAAAGGAAAAATATAAAGAAAATATATTTATCTCAAATGTTTAAATATATAAACTTTTTTCATTTTATATATTTTTTTGTCCTCATATCGCAATTAGTTGCGACATAATGTGTTTAAAAAATCATTGTTTATTTTTCAAACAATTATTTTGTCTTAATAAGACTAAATAATTGTTTGAAAAATAAACAATGATTATTTAAACGCTTTACTCTAGCTAGAAGTTCAAGCTCGTAAAACATCTAAAAACATCTTAAAACATCTAAATATATTATACATTAAAGTAGGTTTTTGGGGTCAGGGAATCTATTTCTGACATTGAAATATAGTTTTGACTACTTGCGCGCAATATGGTTTAAAAAGTCAGATTACGCGGTTTTTGTGTCCTATATATCAAAATACATGTAAAATATAGACCTATATAATTGTTGGATTATAATTAAGAATTAAATAATAATATTATTTAGTATGGCAAATTAAATAAATAATTATCATTATCATTAAAAAATGATTGCCATACTCCGGGTGTGGTAGCATGCTTAGGGTTTTGTAGAAAATGTTTTTTTAGCACCAAAAGTTTAATATGCGAAATAATATCAAATTGCAAATAAAAGTTTGGTACGACTAATTGTTTATTTAAGCATTTTTTTTTATGCGTGTATTCAGAGGCAGATATAAGCCCCATCAAGTCCTGGAAGTGACGAAGTAAAAAATAAATATAAACATTTGTTATATAACGTCAACTACCTGCCTAATATTAGACTATCGATCTTTATATTTTTGATAATGTTTTAAAAAAAGTTTATATTAAAAACTATGCAAAAGTTTCAAAACATAGTTTATAAAACTTGTAATTTATACTTACACAATAAATTACAGTACAATGTCTTTAAAACTTGTAATTTATACTTACACAATAAATTACAGTACAATGTCTTTAAAACTTGTAATTTATACTTACACAATAAATTACAGTACAATGTCTTTAAAAAGTATATTTTTGATAGTTTAGATTTGTCGCCAAATATCAAGATTTAAAAAGAGCATTCCTAAAAAAATAATTTTTGTTAAATCCCAGGCTTTTAAATCCAATTGCAGAACACCTGCAATTTTCTTATAGTGACATATAAATGTATTCAACTTCTTTAAATATGAAATTTCTTTATGATCATCACCCTTATTCTCGTTACTTTTTACTTTTAGTTTTTCAAAATATATATTTTTAACAATAATGTTCTT